TTTGTAGACAATGTAGAGGGTACTAAGATAAGAGGACTACTACTTCTGTACATTTTTTTTCAAAATTTTAGTATAGCAACTTGATTCAACTATTATTATGATCTTTATCTTTGCAATGATATCTGGTTTTGTCTGAAAAAGTTAGACTATGATCAAACGAGAGCTAACAATTATACTTGCTCTTTGGTAGGAAAAGATTATCGCATCCTTGAAACTTTGAAATCGGACTAGGGGCTAGGAATAGCTGTTTCTAGTTAGAGTAACTACAATATTGATAACAAGCGACTTTGAAATCTTCTAGTTATTCTAGTACGTCTGAACATTGATGACCTAACAAGGTATCAATGGTCTGAACATATGTATGCCGTCCAGTATCTCACAGGTTCTTTGTTTCACGAGCCAAATTGTACGTACACTTATTCCCATAGGTCAACCATACTGCGGTGTTATCTATTTTCAAATTAACGACTGCCGCATGTGCATAAAAAATTTATAACGTTTTTCTCGTGATAAAGAGAGAATTAAAAACAAAAGAATGATATGGAGTCGCTTTCAACATGACCGGATAATCGTATCCGGAATATTTTTTCGAAACGTGTACTAGTAATCCTATGAGAAAATTATCGAAACTCGCATAATTTATGATCATATCAACTCAAAAACAACAAGTAGACTGCCCCTTATATTTCAAATTTCTCAATATCAGTGAATCGAACGAAATTTTATTGGAAAAAAGTCTTTCACTTCGAATCTTTATTGTGCGTAATACAGAAATGTAACTGGTGATTTCCCATTGAAAATTTGACTTTACTCAGACAATCTGTTTATCGTTAGTTTGATCAGCTTGACAACGTAATATTCTATAAAGCAAATTATTAATAAACATAGCCATGGATAATCGAAAATCAATCGACGTGGTGCGTATCTTATTAAAATTGAATGTTTAATTAACCCTCTGTGTGCTCAGATCTTTTCAATTTCACTGGACCCTAACGTGGGTTATAAATGTCACGCTGATCGGTCAAACAAGGAAGCCATAATAGAAGACGCAATAACACGTCCAATGCAAAGATTTCAGGCCATTTCTGCTGATAACTAGCGTATTTTGATGGTTTGTGCGCGCATACAAAATCTTCCCAAAAGATTCAAATTTTAGCGCGAGATGTATACTGTGTAATTTATAGTGACCAATCAAATACGTTCATTTATACAAAGACCATTTTTTCCCAGAATGTGCCTATTCAGCACACAGAGTATGACACTTTTTTGGACATCAGAATCATTTAATCGCCTGCAATTCAACAACGGGTAGTCGATTAACTCAGATTTGCTGGCACATGTTTGCAATTTATAATTTTAATACGATTTAGGATTTGGTCCAAAAGTGTCACCACCCTATGTTTGCAATTTTTGAAAAAACTTGCACTAGAATTTGCGTTCGTATCAAGAAAAATATCATAGAATTTCCATATGAACCCCACCGCCAGTACACCAAGAGTTAAACGATTCCGTTGGGTCCAATCGGTTGAAAAAAACGTGTTGCGTCCTACAGGTAAATCATTCATATATATTGCTTGATCGAATATAATTCGAAAATAACCTTCTGTCTCTTATATGGGTTGGGCTAGACTTATCTTTCGACAAATATTCAATGTTTGTAGTTTTCATAATTGAATTTTGAGTTAATAAATTTCTAATTATGAATATACTTTTATGATGTCAAAATTAGATTAAACACAGAACAAATGGACTGTATTTGAGAATTACCAGATGGCCACGTCATCAAAAAAATCAAATCTTAGGAAATTTGTTTATAGATTGACTAGGAATATTTGAGCCAGAAAAGAAGGAAAACATAGTAATCAAGAATGTGGAAAACGGGGATGCGGACTTGGGGAAAATTCACAATCGACTCCCGAATCCAGGTTATAAAAATTTTGACTAGAATTTTGATTACAAAAATGTCAGCGTATTCAAACCTTTAACAGATTGAACCTCCCTTCAATGTGGACTTCGATTATGACTATTCCAAAACTGAAATGACGACTGCGCTGAATTAAAAATATTGACTCCCTCTTCCAACTATGCTTGGAAATACGATTCCAGCTCCAGCTCAATGAAAATACGTCACAATGCGCTGACGTGTACCCATACCCACCACCATAAATCTATATTGTTTCAATATCTCGGGGCATTTCAGTGGACGCTAAACTTTTCTCAGATAAGAGTCTCCTACAGTTCTGAGTCAGCGCGCGCCGACAGGCTTTGAGCAAATAGAAAAAATTAATGAATACTTGATTGTAATAATCCGAATAAATCTCAATTACTCTTAAACCAAAGCTCACTCACATCACATCAAACTTTCCACCGACGTTAATAAATAAACTTAGATCTGACATCTGCAAACTACGGCTCGCGGACCAAATCCGGCCGGTTGGGTAATCCAATCTGGCCCGCGTGATTCTGACAAAACCAAACTAAAACCAAATTTTGATAATTTAGTCAAAAATAGCTCAAGGAATTTGTTGAGATTGCGATAAAATTTAGTTTTTGCACGAAGCCTATTGTTTTCCACTTTGCTTTTGTAACACTGTGAATATTGTTCATGAATGTAACTTTTACGTCACAATTACATGATCCGAATCTTGCCCACCCCTGACTATACCTTCAGCCCGACCCCGCCTCGCTAACATTAGCCGATACCGAACCTGAGAATATACTGTTCAATACTGTCGCAATTCCTCAATTCCAAAAGTGAAATTTAAAAAAAAACGTGACGTAATATATTGATGACGTTATTTTTTTTGTTTCACTTGCTAATATATACATAAAATTAGAATACGACATTCCATTACAATGATGAAAAAATTAATGCTATATTTCGAGACGCAATTTACGTTAGACATTTTATTTCTAAATTGGCGATTTCGCCGTATTTTCACCTTTAACGTCTTCAAAAATATCGCCAACATCGGTATGTGAATTTACCGATTCAATACTAAAACCGATTATACCAATAGAGATAATATCTCTCTCTAACAAGTACACTGTATTAAAATGTCTACCGATACACGAAAAACAAAACGGCGTGTCCGCATACTTATTTACTAAACATTGGCACGTATTACAACGCCAACACAAAATAGTTTTAACGGAGAAATGGTACTTTGTGCTGACTATGCGACCACAAGATCGAGGTTTTTGTTTTTGGTGATTGGTCACGTGATTAGTAAACTAAAAACAAAGTACAAGATTTTTTTCGCAAACAAATAAATGAATGACGAAAAAGCGGGTATGGAATAATAAAAAAAAATGATCAATTCAACAATGAGAGGAAATATGATAGAAATATTACGGTGATAATAATGATCTTTGTAATAATGAGTCACTTAAAACGACGTCAGTTGACTCAGCTGTGACGTCACAAGAGAAATATGGCGGTCGTAAATCTGGAATTCGGATGACAATCGTAACTATCAAAGAACGCTAACCAAATAAACGTTCAAACAAAGTGTATTTACCAAAAATAAATATTATATTTCAGAGCATTTTTTTTCAGAATAAAATCGAAAATAGTTGGGATGACCATAGCAGTGTAGGTTATGTTCGGACCATACGTGATTCATTATGGTATGTTGAAAATGACCAGATTGAAATGAGAAAGACTAAATTTACTGTTTTCGTATAAAATATTAACCTAATAGCACCAGGTATCGACGGAAAGGCTGAATAAATTTTAATGACCAGCTTGGGACCAAATTAAACGGCCAGTTACAACACCTGACAACAATACGGAAAAGGATCGTGCAAAACAATCTATGAATGGTAGTGAATTGCAAATAAAGATTGCAGTGTACATTGGGGAAAAGGGAAAAGTTTAATGACTTTAATAATCTAAATTAATGTATATAGATCGGAATTGAATGAATTGAAACCAGACGGCTGAATTAAAATCAACATGGCTCGTCGCAATATATTATAAGCATTATGTCAAATTACATCGGTTAGGTACAATTCCTTATAAAATAATACCCTATTACGTCATATTTTTTGCAATATCTACTCCGCACAATAGAACTTATATTAATGAGCTGATAAATACTTTTTTGATTGCATATATACGAAAATATACCAATATTCTAATGTTAATAACTTCTGTAGAATAGAGCATAGACCTAACTTTTACGACGGCCTTTAAAAACTTCGATGCTATTTTGAGTAAATAAATTTAGAATTTATTGATTTTTATGAGAAACTAAAGTCACATTGTCACAATTTATGACAATTTGTAATATTTGGTATTGAAGAATGAATATCAATAGAGAAATGATTCTACGGACAGTTGTTTCTATCTGAGCCTTCACCACTTCAAATGAGTGTAATGGCTGCAGCACCGAGAACAGTCTACAACACTCTACAACTATTTAAACTCATGGAGGTACAAGAGTCTACAATAGTCTATCCGGTTTTAACCTATTATAACAAGTGGCGTGAAATTGCGCCCATAGCAAGGTTCAAAATGCGCCCGTTAACTGACAAATTTTAACGTATGTTGGTAAAATTACATACTTGTACGCTAATATTTGAGTAAAAAAACGAGTTTCACTTATTCCCAATTCAAAATTACTTCATAGAAACATTTTACGACTAAGACCTTTCGCCCTTCTTGCGCCCTGTCCAAACGACCTATTACGCCACTGACTTATAACATGTATGCACGTTGCGTTGTTGCGACTAAACTCATAAATACATATATTCAATATTTCCAACGTATACGGAAGCATTACTGAGTATCAAAGTCACTTCGAATATGAAAAACACCAGTGTTACGTGTTAGAAGAATATAATCTAGATTATCTGTATGTTTGGGACGGATCATGACGTCTGATCATTGAATTATGTCAGTCAGGTCGCATGTTCACACGTAATACCAATCAAACAAGATGCAGCAAATGAGACTAATTCTGTTTGAAACTGATAGTAGTTAACGAAGTACATACCTTGGGTGTAATCAACTGTAACACTTGATGACGGCACACTCCTGTAAGAATTCTTTTCGATTTCTGCTGTCAAAAACGATTTTTCGTTCGGTCGAAAATTTGTATTTATTGATGTTCCAACAACAGAATTCTCATTGCCTGATGAATGACGTAATTTAGTAGTGACGTCACAAGGAAATGAGTGATTTGTATCCTTGATTTGAAGTCGATCAAATTCAACGGGAAACACGTCCTGAATGTTCCCCCTTTCGCTATTGGAACCAGTAAAGTTCAAGTAATGTTTCTGAAATTGTAGATAACAACATTTGCAACAATTAAAAATTATGATGTTATAGTTATCCATTTATTTAACAAAGAACTAGACAGTTATACCATAAACACCCGGTCACGACCAAAAATCGGCGACTCACTCATTACTATGAGTGAAAGTTATTCTATTATAATAAGTGGCCAAGAGCAATATGATTGAATCAATGTAGCATTGAGTTGGATTTTAACGCGAGTAATAATGTTAATTGAAAGCTTGCAAACAACGTTTCTTTCACAGAAAACGATGTATATATATAACAGATAGATAATTTGATAGACAAATAACACAAATCCAAAATCTGACAATTGGCTTCGGCTAGACAGTATACGTTTGGGACCTAATTTCGGTTTGGCTATAACGGCGGCTAATGACTTTTAACGCAGTTAACCTTCCACCTGTTAGATCGTAGCCATAACTCCACTAAATATTTATGAAGTCTTTTTCCATCTTATATATACATATAAAATATTCTGCAATTTATGATCAAGTCGACGCATAATTCAACTAAACATTGTATAAAGGCAGAATATACTTTATATTAAATACAACTGGAATATTCTGTAATTGATGGTCATGTTTATACATAAATCAACTAAATATTGCATCAAGTCAGAATATTCTTCATCTAAAATACAACTAGAATATTCTGCAATTCATTGTCGGGGTTCTTTTCCTATACAGTAAATATATACGAGACGAAAATTTTTGAATTACTAACGCCTTTTGTAAGCTTCTCCTTTAGTTAAAAGACAGTTTAATCTGTTTCAAGGAAAGTAAAATTCTTTTCTATTCATCCATCATAACAAGTGACAGCAAGATGATGAAATTGTATTCCAGTTTGAAAACTAACTAACAATAAACTTTAAATTGCACACACACAACTACGTCGGTCTCGCATAAATGCTCACAAAAAACGCTGCGAATCTTCATTCAGACGAAGACAAATTGTTTCAGAAAGACAAGTTTAAAGGAATTCGCTCATTGAACGTTGCAAGCCTTAACCTGGGTCTTTGTCAACCGCCACGGTTCGTTGAAGGTGCATACTCGCATTTCAAAAAACTAGGACTATTTGGCTTGAAATTCTACGTGATTCAAACTGCTACCTACGATAATACCCACTTAAATGAATACAACAAAAGATAGTAAACCTTAAACATCTTATTTCAAAGCATATACAAAAAACACAGGTCGTTTGGCCTATGTAATGTATACAAACAAGCCCAGCCTTCCCAAAATACCGCAGGCTAAACAACCGGGACGGACCAAGACTTTGGCATGCATGTAATTTGTGTGACGTAATGGAATAATTGCGGTATATTTTGTTCGTTCGGAACTGAACGTCTTCAAAATGTAATTCCATATATTTGAGTCATCGTTATATTCAAGACAAGGAAATGAAAACAAAACCAGAATACTTTTTAGGTTCAATTTCTAAAACATTGATCAGCCACCTTAACTCTACGATAGAGTAAATATAATTATATTGTGAATTTCCCATCTACACAATAATACCTGAAACAGTACATGTCAAACCCAAAACAAAAATAATTTGCCCATTCAAACAGCCTAATATGGAGTAAATCTAGGAGATGTACTTGGACCTAAACTGTTTTTGCCTTTGGCTTGACTTCTAAATCTAGCATTGTGAAATAAATCTACTCTTTTGTTAATATTAATTAAATTTTCTTTTATTTGGTATCTTTTCTCCGGTGATCTCTGACCCTAAATCCACCATTAGGCGGATAAATTCCGTCTGGTTCAGTATTATTCTTTACAGCCGTTTTATATGTCTTTAATAAGATAATAATTATAAACATACTTAACGGATAACACTAATACGAATGCTGTTATTAAGCGTCTCATTGTCTGCTTAATGGACAAATTCCAGGCATATTTCTTATGCAGTATAATACTTTAGCTCGCCTCACTCAGAAAGAGTTTGATAACAAAGTCAAACTATGCAGAAAAATGAGAGAGAATTTATTCGATCTACCGCTTGACGCTCGCATATCTCACATCTATGATAAAACCACATTTGTATGAATATACATTTCCATCATTTTTTTTTTCATCTTCAGACTAATGATACCTAAATACTAACTTCTAAAATAACGCGTTTTTACCATAACCCTTACTTGATTGAAAATACGCATCCTGTGTATTAGATTTAGAATCAAACCTGTTATTTGATTGGCAGGCCACATATCTTTACGTAGGAGAGAATACAAAATGACAATCGGTAACCTGAATTTCTATTCCAACTTTAGTTTTTTGAATACAGTACTTTTGTAATATCCTACTTGGTACACTAAGTTGGCCAACAGGCCCCAGTATGCTTCATTTAAATGTCTTAATACGTTCCCCGTATATATTGGAATAAATTACTAATAATCTGACTGTCTTACTGAATTTTTAAAATGACATAATTCTGCCGAGTTTCGTTATCAGGTAATTTGTTTCAAATGTCTAAAATTTTCGTATGAATCATTTTAACTATGGGCATATTTATCACTTCACCACAGAAAATGGCTAAATGATGAGAAAGCTATACTATGATCTTCATAACAAAATCGTTTCTCCTATACATCCATTCCAGATAAAACTGTTCGAATTGTTTCAATTTGAGAGTGATATAACTAAAATACTACAAAAACATTAATACATCATTAACATTACAGGAAAGCCGTACTTGAAAATTCTAACGGAAACTAAAACAAAGTTATAAAAATATATGTGATCATGGTCAGTAGCGTGAAATTAACGTTTTGTAATTGAATTTCAAACCAAATATGAGAGGATATTGGTTATTGACCTTTCAGTGATTCGTTCGCTAATCTGACGCGAACTTCACAATTTAAAATTGCCCATGTATAGGCATTGGAAATGGGCATATTAAAGATGGCCGAGTAAGAGGAAATAAACGATGTAATTTGTTTTGTATTGAAAGACAGAAATGAGTGCAACGTTATAATCAAACGTGCCCTGGGGGTTAAAGATAAAGTCTAATCTGAAGACAATTTTGTGGAAGTTTAGTGCGAACACTTGAAATATTTCGTACAACTAACAATAATGGTGTGTAATTTAAGTGACTTTGAGTACACTGTGGCTAAATAGCAAGAGAAAGAGAGGCGTAATTTCTCACACCTGACTTTATGGCTAATATGCTCTTATAGCACACTATACTATATCACAACAGTAAATCTTGCAATGACATTGTAATTATAAAAAATTTCACATTTTTTTCATAGGACCTGTCAATCAAAAGTGAAATGATTTTATCAAACAGTTCATCATTTTTCATTCAACCCTATCAAAGTTCGTGACAGTGGTTTAACGCTGCTTAGAGATGATGTAATGTCGTATAGGTTTCCGTTCAGACAAGGCTATTCCAAGTTTGACTAATATTTAGTAAAAGTAAGTCTAGGTACCATTTAGCAAAAATGTATGATGAACCATATTGCAATGAAAGTTATGATAGTATGTATATGTATTGTAAATATTATGACGAAAATGATGAAGTGGGCGAAAAAATGATGAGAGAAATTTCATTTTTCGCACATTAAAAGTTTTTCGTAGAAATAGGCCGCAAAGAAAAGTGTTAAAAATTGGAAATCGAACATGTACAAAACATACAAGCGAACAGATTGGAATCGAGAACACTTGGTAAAAGGCATGGATACACTAATCAAATGGCATACTCTGAGAAGAACCCAGAACTGATGCTTGATGTAGTGCGTGCAATTAAGGCTGGCTGATGGGCGAAATCTTCATCATATTAAATACGAAATTGAGGTATTTTTATACTATCACTGTTTGGGTGTATTCACTTGGATGTATATTCGGAGTCAACATTACCTGGTACTTTCACCTAATGTACGTGAGGATCAAACGTAAATGAAAACACAGAACATATATGATTTCAAAATGTTATCAGAAAAATCTAATGATTCAGATTTTGCCAAATACGACAATTCAAAAAATCATCTTCGACGAAATTTATCATGACGTCAAAATGATTCGCCCTCAGCGAGGTGATGATGACAAATTCCTGACAATTCGCGTGAGGTTACGGTTTTGGAAAACGTCTTTGTATTAATTTTTAAAAGCCGCGTGAAATATTTGGATAAAAAAATCATCATCAAAATGAATAAAACTTAGCGCTCAACCTTACACCATAACGCAAAAGGAATGAAGCTAAAGTTTACAAATCAAGCATTTTCATTAGGTAAGTTTGCCCTGATAATCAATAGAAGGTAAATGAACCTGCAAAAATCGAAAGAGTACATTATTATTATAATATGCAATAGTGATTAAAAGTCATGTGCAAGAACTAACAAACGTCCCCAAGAGAAGATGAATCACAGACAAGTTAAACTTCCAGTTCGTTTTTTGGATTACGTATTTTCTACATTTAAGAAAAATCATAAAGCTTTTAAAGAAATAACATGCCACATTTGTTTGACATGTTGACTGGTTGGCATGGTTACGTTTGAGCACATTTGTCAAATGTCATTTTCATTTTACAAAGGCCGACCAGCTCGGCCTAAAGTAATAAAAACGTCTTGAGAATTTAGGCTGCAATAAATTATTGTAATGTACTTTAATAGGTACTCGCAAAATGAAGAAAATACTTTTACAAGAAAAATGCGTTAGCATAAGTTTATATCATTAAAGGTTGAGTGAGAGCGAGAGAAATTTATTCAAATAAAACATCCAATATTGATAGAAAAATAAATAATACCGTTGTAAGTTAAACAATGTATAGAACTGAAGGCAGACCGCGGATGGTTCACTATATATATGTTATATAGAGAATGTTTACTATTATTCGATGTCCATAAATATTATGGTATGGCATTTCCGAAGTACCGGTAGTTTACTGAGAATAAAAATCGTAAAGTGTGTGATGGAATGCAGTAGTATAATATTCATAACATACATTGTTGTTCTGCAATACAGGTTTTATTTTTAGATTTGATGGCGGAGAAAAATGTTCAGAAACGTTAAAATAGTTTGCAGATGGAATGTGAAAATATTGGTTCTGTTGACCGGCATTTGAATATTTCTTATGTATTGCTTTAGTGATTAGTTTGCACCCAAGATCTTTGATATTTGAAACTATAAATGTGTACCAAATAATATAAGCAAAAGAAATGCTCAAATTTAGGGCAACGTAGATCGGCGTGAAGGTGAATGTAAGATAAGACCGCAGAGTTTTCTGAAAAGACCGGCGAACAATCGCAAAAAAGACGGACAAGCGTGAAAGAATAAAGTGTTTTCGCGAAGAAAAATATCACAGTAAATTTTTGGCAAATTTTCGGACCCAATATGACTCAGATAAAACTTGCTCCATTGTTTGTCTAGAAAATGCCAAGAAATAATTTAGCCAAACGACCAGCAGATCTACATCGTATCCATAACTGTTTGTTTTTTAGCAATAAACATATCCATAAATAACATATCCAAGCAAATCATAAATATTTGTGTAATGTCCAGAATGTCATTTTGTGTGAACTTTGACATGCCTTCAAGAACGTTGGTTGTTTCTATTAGGATAAGATTTACATACCGGTATTTATCCCGGGGGAGAGGAAATGCGATAGGACTACTTAATGATGTAGCGAACCCCGGCCTCTCGTCCTGTTACCAGTCTATGTGGGGTATGGAATTAGTTAATCATATATTTGTTTTTAGATTCATGGACTTCACTTGAACTATTAAAATGTTATAATGTATGACTGATAGTATCATGATGTGATGAAACTAGAATTGTTAGGAATACGTTGAGTTTACAATTGTGGCATGTAGTTTGATGTTTAGGTAGAGATGGTATATTGAATAATATCATCAACCGTTGGACATTGAGACTTGCACTATGACGATATTTTTCTTCAGGCCCCAAACAAAAGAACTCTTGTGCCATCTAGTGGCGATAGTACTAATTCAACCGATCTGTCAGTATAAAGTTGATGAGGACAATAAAATATAAAATAGGAAATGATCTTTGAAATAAATTTTTTTCACATGGCAACTATCTAGTACCAGAGCAATTTAGGGACTAAGTGTCAGAGAGTCTATCTCAAAATTTATTTTGTCAAGGGTCTAGGAACCTGTTTCACTCAATGAATGAGATTCATGAATTAATAAATGGCTTTCAATAAATGTACTCACTTCATCACTCTCTTCATGAATTGCCCTAATTTTTGGAATATTTCCTTTTCCGTCATCTAAAAATATGTAAGAAAACTTAATAGTTTTAAAATCTACTTACACTTACAAAATGAAAGGTAAATTTATGTAACTGTAATCCGGTTTTCTAAATTTGCTCCCAAACCTTTCTATCAAAGAGCAAAGCCTTTTGTGAACAACCATACAGACAAAATGGTCCTGACCATGAATGCCGTATAAATTCTCAATGCCGTATAAATTTAAAATTAAACTATAGCCAGTCCCATATAACAATAATTGCATATTACCCTCCAGCATAGACACTAATTGAAGATTTTGACATTTAGTCTCCATTTTGTTCGTGAAATTTGTAATTTTACCTTGATCTGAAGACAATGCTGAGCTTTTTTTTGATCTTCTGTTCCTTCTAGTACTTGAGTTTCTAACAAATACTTGAGGTAAATCATTCTTTAATTCTGTATGTTGCCCATTTTCTGATGCATTTTTATTCATATCAGTTCTTATCATTTCTTGTTGTGTTGAATTTAGACATTCTTTTCTACCCTTTATCGAAGCAGATATTTTATTCATATCTTCTCCTGATGAGCAACTCTTTTGGTGTGACGAATGAACGTGAGAGTGCAGATTTCCAAGTTCTTGCTCTTTATCAACAGCTTGTTCTACATTTTGATATCCAATACTGTCAGTTTCATTCTTTGACATTCTTTTACTTCGTCGATAACTTCGCCTGTTGACTTGAGTTGGACTAAAAGTGTCTAAAAATCAACACTTGGAAATTTTGAATCATCTCTGTCACAAATACTGAATTATGAGTTGTTATATGCCAATAGAAAAGATGAACATATAACCTATACATACACAAATGGGCAAATAGAAATTACCCAAGTTAAAAAGACCAAGTTCATGCATCAGGAACAAAAAATGAGTGACTATTCCCATAGTAAACATTGACTTGTATTCTGATAAAAGGCCATTGTTTCACCATATAATCTGGTCATTTTATCAGCTTTTCTTTCCCCAAGATGAATATGAAAATCACTTTTTATCCTAAAGTTGTAAGTATAACATGACTGAACTTATACAGTCAAATGACAGACAATACAGTCAAATGTTTAGAAGAATGAATGAGATAAATTATTAGATTCAATATCATTTTGTTGACATTCAAATTTCCCCACCTTGCATTGATCTGATACGCTGAATGGATTGCCTTATTGCGATCCTCTCTTCAGCATTTGACGCATTTTTGAACTGAATAGAAAGTACAGTCATAAGCTGGTAATATACAAACAATGAGCAAAAGAGCTGGAGTTCTGAAAAAATTGCATCGAAGAAATAATAATCAAACAACCTAGAATTTATCAAAATTGTACAGTGCTTTAATTTTGGTACAAAAGTCTCTTCAAATTCTAGTTTGGCATGTATCGGTATCTTGTTTCATTATGACAATCATGATGGCAACATTTGCAATATTCAAAATTAAATGACGCCTTGCGGTATAAACATTTACATCACACATTCTATAACTCATTTTAGATAGGAATGAGATTGTTGGGTAGACTAAAAGTATAAATGAAAGCCACTAAATCAGCTAAGTTCCCCTTAATCTTCTAAATAACCCTGACACACGATTTCACACATAACAAAATAAAATTCATTTTATATTTAAATTTTTTACATATCGAAAATACAAAGTGTAGCCTACGTACCGTACATCACATTCATTCTAAAATTAAAGAAAAGAGTAAAGACAATAAAATAGCTTAATCTTATTACAAATCATGTTTTTGTCTGGCTACAATTATTCCTCTATGACAATATGAGAAATGAAATCAGCAAGACTATCGTACCGGTACCGGTACAAACAGACATAATCAGCTCAGTATTTACAGATCAAGTTTCATTGCTAAATAGTCTTTGCCTGTATTTCCTTATTAACAGATGTAAGGTACATTTTCGAAAAAGTGGGACGGAGAAACAAATTTATTCACCATCAAAAATAGCAAACAAACTTCAGAACTTAGCCTACCATAAGTTGAAGTTTGTCGATGTCTTTTGTAAACAAACTTTCACCTCGATTGTTGTTGCACGAGTCATTAGAGACGCAAGAAGTCATTGTCATAATCCTTTATACTGTTATATACAGATACATCAATATAAAACAAGACAAACCAACAAAGACAACCGAATCAACGTGGCGACATCATAACATTTGCTATCCGTCGCCAAGTATCCCACGCTTGTCAATCAATCCACTTTCTAACCTTTGACCTAATAAACCAATCTTCTAACTTTTGACTCGCTTTTTATTTTTTTTGTTATTTAAAAATTCCAGTCTTTTGTAAAAAAGGCAAAATTCAAATTTAAAGAATAAATCCTCTTACTCGTAAGCTATTATTTTTTTAATTGTAGAAATACGCGGAAAAATGAAGGGAATTGAAGAGGAAAGATGCGATATTTTGAACTGCGCTGTGATACAAAATTGACAACATACTAAACAAATCGAAGTTGCCAACACTTTAAATAGGGGTTCAACTTGGAAGATAAAAGCACTGAATGTGCAAAAACATATCACCCTGTGACAGGGAACAGAAATAAAATAAATATGACGAGACACTCTCTGAAGTTGACAATTGATACTGTGTCATACAATAATGCATATGGTATAAACCAGGGATGGCGAACCTTTTTCAATGAATGGGTCAAAAAAATTATTTTTATCGCGGAACAGAATAGAGTGGGTCACAGATATATAATCAATGTTTATATCTATAGGAAACTTCCGAAACAAATCTTATCTTCTCTTAATGTAGTTTTGGGCTTTATTTATGCAGCACTTCTAACAGGGACTTTTTATGGCTCTCGATTTTATGAAATTAGAGTACGAAAACACGCATACGAGTTAACGAAAACGTTTAGGATGATGCGGCAAATTATTTTACGGTTCCAAAGGGTTTGGAGGAAATTCCATTTTGATAGTGTTATATTTTTCGATCAGCTTTCAACCACATTTAGGGCATTTTGTACCGCCCCATTGTTATTTCAGATTTCTAGGTTTTTATTTCAAGTCTGAAAGATTTTGTTTTCTCAACCGCATTGTAGGCGAGAAACTAATAAACTGCAAAGTAGCATCTGGTTTTCATATAACCCCTAAAATAGTCTGCAAATGAACCTCCGAAAGAGACGAGATGTTGCGAGAAATAAACAGATCAATTGCATTATTATGTCATAAACGAACTCAGAGCCAATAGCTGAATAACGTTACACAGCGATGCAGTGTGCAGACACGGCATCCAGATTAGGAGTTTTGAAAATTACCATACCGGCCCGAAAATTAACAATTTGAGTATGAGCGATCGCAGCCCTGGCTACCAAACTGACGGTACATTATAATAGTTCAGTTATTGTTAGATTAATTTAAGGCCGGTTTGATCAATTTTTATCAATGTTATATTAGCATTTTATTTTATTCGTGCTTTGGCGGGTCACGAATAAAACGCGGTGGGTCACTTCGTGACGCGCGGGTCACTTCGTGACGCGCGGGTCAGTGGTTTGCCATCCCTAGTATAAACAATAGTGCGGATTTTGATTTTTGCACGAAAGACCAACAGAAGAGTGACAAAATTTGAGAAAAAAAAAACAATATTATTTTGGATTTTGAATATTAGTGACAACAAATTTGTACCAGCCATTTGCATTCGCAAATTTGCAACCACAGATTTAGCACCCGCATACAAATTGCACTCGCGGACATTTGCACTGGTAATCTCCAGCGAGATTCTCGGTTCTTCATTGGTGCTGCACAGTGCACCCGACGACCAACATACACCTGACCCCAAAAAAATTTCAATCACTATCAAATTATTTACTCCTTATGTTTTCAATAGTGTTGAGTTGACCTTATTTTGTGGCAGAAAATCTCCCTCTCTCTCTCTTCCTATTTGCAACAATGGCTATTTAGATCTTCCCGTAGTCCCGCTTTTCCCATGTTTGCTGCAATTTTACAGGATTCACACAGTTGCGCCCTTTTAGTGAAATTTCTAGAATTCATATTTTTGGCTATTTCAGTAGCCTAGTTCCCGCCCTTTTGTATTGGTATTGTCCTGTAATCAGTTTCATTTGTTTTTTTATTAATCTTTTATGCTGATTATGAAGTCAAAATAACCATATAGGCCTACTTATTTTCCTGTAGTGTCTACTTTTTAGTCATCGACGTCGATGAGTGAGTGAATGATGCGGTTCATGTCGCTTTTCTGGTCATTTCTATTGCGCATTTTAGTCATTAGTGTTGAAGTATTTGGCAACGTTAGTGGCAGCGTTGAGTTTCATTCGTAGTTCTAGTTGCTAATTTTGTGTAAAATATCGAATTTTACATGTTCAACGATAACAAGAGAGCTCTGCTTAAATACATGTACACATGACTAGGGGTCGCCAATTTTTTTCATTTTGACACATAAAAAACGAATCACTTGCAGTCCACAGAAATTGTTGAAAAAAATAAAAGTAATAGCCTTCTGTCGAAAAAATTAATTTTTAATCACTGAAAATTTCAAAGCAATTGGTGCAGTATTAGAAAAGAAAAGCGATTAGAAAAGAAAGATTTTATCATGACGAAGAAGAAGTAGAGTATGTACAAGAACAACAACATAATATTGAATCGATCATTAGTACACTGACGTGTTCAATAAAGGCAATCGGAGGCAGGGACACACTTGTAGCAATTTTTATGTATTGGATAGGAGAGGAACACCGATGAGACGACTCAAATATACGACCAACAACGGCCCTTCGTCTTCGAAAAGGAGCATCGTTAATATTCCTGACTTCTTGTGAACCTGTGTACTGGGGCAGGAGAATAGCCAGTATTCCAAAGTCAATACAATTGTTGTTTAGCGAGTAGAGGGGCATTTCTACACAGTAGAATGAGTAGATTCTTGCTGAAAGCCATTGTATTTAGATCCCGCTACGTTAGATACTCGTTGCTTGATCTAGATATTTATTTCCGTCGCGCATGAAATATTGGACAAATGAATAGTGAACATAAATCAATTGAGATAAAAAAAAAAACATATATACTCTACCTATCCTCGACCCCCTATCCTACCCCAGACTGTCTCATCCCTAAACTACTGTCACCCTAAAGCAGCGTTTCCCAACCTTTCTTGGTCGCGGACTGTTTTCTCACTGGCGAAAACCTTTGCGGACTCAAGGATCGTTTATTGCAATGGTACTCTGTGTGAAGAAGCAATAAACCCGAACACAACATTAAAATTTCAAAATCGGAAATTCGCCGCAATTACGCGTTCTTTAAAAGAGCCGACTTTTTTTAGTGTATAATGGCCGTTTCTGTCGCACAATATTCAGTTCATGACAACGACGAGAATTTAAAATGTCTTTCTATTTTAATTTATTGTGTTCATGGGAACTCGCGGTTGCGTCGACTTACGTACGACAAGATGAAAGCATTACTTCTTTAAAATGCCACGGCAATCTGCGAACATAATAATGTGAGAATATATTGCCCGATTATATATATTTAGTTTTGATACATATTTTTTGCGATCTTGCGAATTTGTCATCCCGTTAAAAAAATTCTACTTTCTGCTGTAAAGTTCCAGAAAGTACAACTTGATTTAGCACTTGTTAAAAATATATTTAAAGTTTATTAGTAAATCAAAAATACATATTCATCGCCTTGCTTTACTATTAAGTTAATTGTGATGATTTTAATCTGCAATTGTGTTGACGAAATTAAAGCAATACTACTCAGAAAATATCAATATGGTAAAGTGGCCGATTATATTCTGAGCTGTTCGTACAACACTTACGGCGCTCCAGTACTGTACGTACCAATGTGAATCCTAAGGAAAAATACCCTGGTACGTATACCACGGCAGCACCCGAAATTTTTCGATTTGCAATGTCCAAAAAAGCGTTTTAATCGTTCGCGGACAATCATAAAACGAAACTTATGGTGTTATGCGTTTTATTTTTAGTTATTTGTATTGCCGCTTTTCAATTTAGAAAATTTAGGTTGCCACAGTTGACACCTACCAAAAAAAAAATTTATTTCTTGTTGTTCGAACTCGCGAACTCTATCGAAGCGTGTGCAGACTCGTGTTTTCGTCGGAAGGTGTTTTCGTCACCTGTTACCAAATTTTCGAATAGTAAATTGCTATTCTGATAGTTTAATATTCGAATATATGCCCAGTCCTACTCATTAACCAGTAATTATTGACTCGAATAATGTTATGTGAATAAACTTGTCTTTTATGTTTTATGTAAATTCTAACGTATTATTGGGCTGATAGTTGAGTTTCGCAAAAACGTTTGCAGCCCGCGGTGAATTTCTGGCTCGTTGCGGACTCATTTGAGACCACGGACTCGGGATGGGAAACCCTGCCCTAAAGGAATTCCAGGAGTTGCGCTCTACACGCGTCCCGTTTACCAAACTCTAGACTTTTCCAGACTCAGCAAAGTTCCAGGTTTTGAGCGGTTCAACTACGCCAATGATATTATTAAAGCGTACATCGAGGAAACATGTCATAAGGTTTTCTGCTTTTAATAGGTGTTTGTCTGGAATAGCAAATGGTGATCGACCCCCATTATCGGTAGCTTAAAAATGTGCTACTTTTATCTTGGTATGTTGTTAGAAACTTATCTACCACTCGGCTCTATCTTATTTTGCGCACTAAGGATGTTCCTTTACGCGCTGAAGGTCGATCCAATCGCGGGGACGGTAACGAAACACAGCTTTAACAAGGGCATCAAACTTAAATATGAATAGAGAATGTGGTAAAAATCGCAACTACAAACGTCGCAGAAAGGGCTGGACATACTGATGGAAAATATGAAGGAATTGGAGCAAATTGGAAAACCCACATCATCTTCCGATGCCAGAACTAGAAAACGGGCGGAACACACCAAAATAGGGAGTTTAAAAACATAAAATTTCTATCTAGTTTCCGATCATTTCACTAGTTGGTTGTCTCCGTTGATAATTTTTAACTAACTATTCGTTAAGTTTTTTAATTTCTGAATAATTTCCAAATATCGAACTTTGTTCCAACATCCAAACTTTTTGTTGAAGAATTCGAAATCTAAAATCGTCAGATTTGTAAGTTACGACGCAATTTACATTTGTGACAGTATAAGAGAAAAAAAAATATATGAGGATATTTAGGGAAAGAGACACAAAATAAACAGTC